TTACTTAACTAACTTAACTTTACCTTAACCTTAAAACCCTAAACCGTAACTACTACTACGTCGTACGTACGTAGTAGTTATTACGTCGTCGTCGTACGTACTCTCTCTCTCTCTCTCTCTCTCTCTCTCTCTCTCTCTCTCTCTCTGTGGTCCCCAACATCCACCAAAACTCTCTCTCTCTGTGGTCCCCAACATCCACCAAAACTCTCTCTCACACACACACATCACGCTGCAAGATCACTACTAAGCACCAGAAAGCTGAGTTTCGTAATATTGAATCTGTCATCCATCTGTATGTTGGGACTTTATCCTTAAACTCTGACCAAAACCAGTTTATGACAACCTTCCATCCTTAAATCCATTCCCAAATTACTTTGCATAACCCTATTCCAAGCAGGTACATGTACAAGATTCTAAGGACGTTAAATACCAGACAATTATTTCTCTTTCATTGAGAATCTTCCCACTCATTCTAAAATTCGCAAGTAAAATTCTGCCAAAACAACTTGAGATGCCAAACAGTCATAAAAAACCACCAATAATATATTGGCATTCATTCAAAATGTTCAAGAAATTTCTGTCCAAGAAAAGAATTAACAAGCCCACCATCCTCGATGAGAGTGGCTGAAGAACTCAACCTACAGTAGGCGACACCAACAAAGACTTCCCATGCTCTCTATTCTACATGCTTCAGAAGACAAAAGGCGTGCAATACATATCTAACAAGCCTCAAGCCATGATACCCAAGACATACAGAGAACAAAAGCAATTTACAGCAAGCAAAAAATTTAAGTGTTTCTTACACTTCCAGGACCTTGAGCAGAAGGCATGGTGCATAACGAACCAATCACAAACATGAATCACCAAGAAAACTGCACTGACTGCCACCCAGAGCTTTGCAGCTTCCGTGGGCCAGCATCATATCTGCATTTCTTGCCCCTCGAAATAGAAGATTGGAAATCATCAAAAGAGCTCCTCTGAATTGAACTTGTTCCAAGCTTCCTGTAAGCCAATAATAGAAAACATGGACTGAATCACCATAAGAAGTTCTGGCGTGTTTACTAGTAGTTGTCATCGCTATTGCTATTGTAGTTGTTATTACGATTTTAACAATAATTACATGAACAATCACATGTAAGCAAACTTGTTGCTCTACCACCAACTTGAAGACGGGCAATGTATAAATCTACTTTCTAATATACAAAAAGTGATGCCCTATGGGCAAAGGCACAGGTTTTTATTCGTTGGGTAGCATATGGAATATCACAGTTTAACTGGGGATTTGCACTGGAGTTCCTCAACCACTGAATCAAGATCCCCAGCCCCCGAATAAAGACAACTCGAAATTCAGGTGGATCAACTTACTGAACTGTAACCCAACTGATATGAGTTAGCATTTAAAGAATACAAAACCAAAAAGAATGGGGCAGAAATATGAGACCCACTGGTAGATTCAATAAATATCAAAAATATCACAAACATACCAAGTTTTATTGAATATTATCCAACACAAAGAAAAGGTACGGCGAACAATGAACTGAATTCATAATCTTCATTATAAGTAAAACGGAAGGAACCACCAACACTGGGTGTGGACAGTGCATGACTCATCCACAACGCACACACCATCAAGCAAAGCCTCAGACATCTTGATCCTCTTCATTTCTGAGGGACCTCTCAACGTCATCTTTCAAGCTTTTTGGACCCCTCTAACAATACCATCTAGCAATTCTCCACCTTATACGGTCGTTAAAGATCATAACAATTATAATTAAGAGATCCAAATCACATAATCCCATCTTTTTTTCCTCTTCTCATAAGTTTTCTGATATTTACATTCACATATAAATCTACTCGTACGTGATGCTGAAAGGACCCAAACTATTACTTATTTATTTTTATTTTTTCTTTGAAGTGTTGACAAAGTTTGTATAATGCACTGGTTAAGAGAGGTGATTTCGTTCAAGTGGAAGGCTCTAAAAGGGCGGCAAGGGAAAGGCCCAAAAGGATATGGATCAAGCAGTTAGAAGAGATATGGCGCCGCCTTATGGTGTGACTGAGGGTATGGATTTTGATAGGGCGGAATGGCATAACAGGATTCATGACCAATCCCAAATAATTGGGATCAGGCTCGGATGATGATAATCATGATGGCAAAGTTTTATTGCTATAAATGCATAACTACAACTGCATTCTTGACAATGCAATTGGTGAACGACATTAACAGTAGAACAAATATTCATTTCCTTTTGATACAGTTTATTTTTTTTCTTTTTAACTTAATACACGGTGAATTACCAAAAAATATCCAAATATATATATATATATATATATTCACCTAAAAAATATCCAAAAAAAATATTAACAATGAATGTTTAGCACAACATGTCATTCATTGACTCAGCGGATATGACCGATACTTAATTCAATACAAAATAAGACATAACATTCTAAATTGCCATGAGAAAAAGAGGCATAATTTATGGCATCTATCCAATCAAAAGAAAGTTGTGAAAGACTGGCTATTCAACTAATCTGGAACCATAAGAGATGAAAAAGACGCATATGAAGCACTTGCATAAAACTCCTACATAAAATCAGTAGTACCTTAAGGATGTCGAAAACCTTTTCTGCAATATACTTCTGTTGAATATTTGCACCCTTCTGCTGCACCTTATCAGGATGGATACATAGAGTTGCTTTTCGATAGACTTTCTTTACAGAAGTAGCAGTAATTAAATCTGTCAAAGACACAGGCTGCCAGCCACACTCCGGCCAGAGTACCTGCTCAAACATCAAAAGACAGGTCAGGTACAGGGTAATCCTAGAAAAGAGATCCATCTCATCAAATCTCAAACAATTGACACTCACCCAGACGACCCACAGAAAAAAGCAACATTAACATTTGAGGCCAGAAGTATAATACAAAAAAGTTTAAAACTCCAAAGCAATTATTGAAAATGCAAGACAAATGACTTTCACGGAAGACAATATGAAAAGACCATCATCTGAACCTTTTCTCTTCCAAGTAACAATTTGGTAAAATGAGTCAGAGAAACTACAGAAAGAATGAACAATCATGTTGCTCATAGATGTGATCTAAATAAAACATGAGAAACCAAATTCCTTCAAATCATATGCATGTCAAAGTTGGTTGCTTCACCCTTCACCTAGTTCTTGAACAATAAAACTACGATGGAACTCAGACCAGTGACAATTGCTTGGATTTGGCAGGTTTTCTTCCAAACTTGAACAGATTTCTAAACCTTAAATGACAACCCAATGTTATTAGGACTCTTGGGGTGCACAAGCCAAGCCATCTCAGAAAGGCCGCTTGACTAAGATCAAATTGCGTAAAGCGTAAGCAATATTTTTCAGCTGCAAAAGCCAAAACAAACCATGCCTGCTAGCTCACTAACTAAACAAGCCACACTAGAGTTGAGGCAAGCTAGTCATGATCATGTTTAAAATATTAAAGCTAGTCATGATCATGTTTAAAATATTATATGCAATACTAGTATATAGTATATTTTTCACACGTTTTAAAACTAGCCGGACTAAGAAAGAGTATATAGAATGCAAGTTTAGTAATAGTAGGAGTAGAGACGAGGAAGTAGTTAAGATTGACGGCCAAGAAATACAAAAAGATCTCACTTTCGATATCTTGGGTCGACAATCCAAGAAAATGGAGAGATTGAAGAAGATGTCGCGTACAGAATTAGTGTTGGGTGGGCGAAGTGGAGATGTGCAACTGGAATTTAATGTGATTGTCGCGTACTAATGAAGTTGAAGGGCAAGTTCTATAGGACAGTTGTGAAACCAACTTTGCTCTATGGGGCAGAATGTGTATAGCAGAGATGAAGATGTTGAGATGGATGAATGGCAAGACAAAAAGTGATAGAATTCGAAATGAATCCATTCAAGAGTATTTAGGTGTAGCACCAATAAGAGATAAAATGAGAGAGAGTAAACTTAGGTGGGCTGGCTATGTGTGGCGCTGACCAAGTACAACACCTTTTAGGAGGCGCGACTTAGTTCAAGTGGAAGAACTGAAAAGGGTAAAGGATAGGCTCAAAAAGACGTGGTTGGCAGTAGTTCGAAAAGATATGGGGATTTATGGCCTCACCGAGGGTATGCCCTTTAATAGAGAAGAATGACCGACCAAGATTCATGTAGCCGACCCCAATTAATTGGGAAAAGCCTATGATGATGATGATTATAAGATATAGTATATTTGTTGACTTTACCTGAAGTCTTAATTTGAGATTTTTTATCTTGGATAGTTGTGACTTGGCAGGTTTATAAGTTTCTTGTAGTAAACAAATGGTGTTTAGCGAAGCTCAATTGGTCCTTCACCATGTAAGCCAAGTGTGAATATGTCCATATGCCACTCAGTTCAAAATGTTTACATGTCCAGTAGAACCAGATTACAGGTCAAACCAATGAAAAATCATACTTTGGTCCTCTACCTGTTGCCTTACGAGATGCGATGCCTTTGATCCTCAATCAAAGATTTCCTCTTGTCCTTAAAATTTGCCAATGGTCCAACCCATCCCATTGTGCCTTTCGGGTCATTGAGAGCAACATCAAAGAAGGCAAAGTCAGTTACGACTTTCATTTCTAGCTACACCCCCCACCCTCAGCATGATGCTTAGATTTACAAAGAAGAAGGAGATTGTGCGGCCCAAGGTCACGAGATTTTCTACCTAGTACCTATCATCGATAGCATACATTCGAGGAGAGTCCAGTTGAGGCAGATGTTTACCTCGGAAGAGTTAAGGGCATGAAAGTGGTCTAGAGATAAGAAAGGGAAGAAGGTGAGAAATATTATCTTTTGTAAGGCTTTTTGGCAGGAGGTGAAAGGCGCTCTTATGGTATTTTTTCCTCTTGTCAAAGCCCTTCGCATGGTTGATAGTGACAAGCCCTCCATGGGCTACATATATGAGGCAATCGAGAGATACAAACGAGAGATAGCCCATAATCTAAATGATGATCTGAGCCGCTATGAGCCTGTTTGGAAGATTATTGATGAGAAGTGGGATAGGCAACTACAACGGCCTTCACATGCAGCTGGTTATTTTTTGAACCCAACGTTTTTCTATGCCGATAGGGATTTACACACAAATTACGACTAGATTTAATAAGTGTGTAGATGTGCTAGTTCTTAATCATATCCAAGACATTATGTGCACTGATGAGCTAACAAGTAACAAGCGTGCATCAAAGTCTTTTGGGAGTTCAATGGCGGTGAGGCAAAGGACCAAAATTGATCCAAGTAATGATATTTTTAAATTCCTCACGTTCTAGTTTCATTTCAGGTTTGTTGTTTGTTTTCTATAATCTATATTTTATATATAATTAGCCAATTGTAATTCATAATCAATTTGCAGCCAATTAGTGGAGCCAACATGGGTGTAATGCTCCAAATTTACAAAAGTTGGCCATTCAAATCTTAAGCGTAACCACTACCTCGTCCGCCTATGAGCAGAATTGGAGTGCTTTTACGATGGTAATTTATTTCCTGTATTAATTCACAATTTACTAATTTGTATTAGTACTTTAGTAGTTACTTAATAATTATTGATTACTCTATCAGCTGTAAATTTGTACTTTTGTGGTATTATATGTTTATATTAATTAGTTTCATACTTTCATTTGATTTTATTAGATTCCTACAAACAAAGGAACACGCTTGAATCAAAGAAGCTCAATGACCTAGTCTATGTTAAGTATAACCAATACTTGAAGGAGAGGTTTGCATAGAGAGATAAGAGAGACTCCCTCAGATCAAAAATATGTATAATGCTATGGAGTTGTTAGTTGATGATGATGAGGTCGAGGGGCATGAAGAATTGACATGGAATATGATCATGAAGGCCTCAAGGACAGCAGCTAACCCTCCTAGGGCCACTAGATCGTCTTCACAAAGTACGAGGGTGGAGGAGGAAGTAGAGGCAAATACATAAGAGATAGAGGACAACTAATATGTTGAGGAGGGAGATGATTCCAATGATGATGGCCTCGACTCCGAAGCATATGATGCAACTGACCCTGCTTTTTCTTATGATGGGTGATGATTGAAAAACCTTTTGAGTCTTCAAGTTTATATTTCTTTCATTTTTCTTTTCCTCCTCTTGGTTGTGTACTATCATTTGTAAACTTTTGGTTTTAACTATGAGTGGACTATGGATATGGATTTATGGAGTATTGAGGAGTGCATGTGGAGTTGTGGACTACAGACATTTGATATATGCCCTAACTCTGTATTATTTCTTATTTTCTTTCATTTTTGTTGATGATGAATCAAAGTCTTGCTAAGTTGCTATCTTGGATTATATTTTCCTATTTTTAGTTTTTACTATGTATGGACTACGGAGTGCATGAAGTTTGGATCATGGTATGGACTATGGATATGGTTTAATTCTATAATGCATTATGGTTTCAAGTTTAAACTTCAAAGTTTGATTTTTGAAATTGAAATGTATGGAATTATGGACTATTTACACAAAATCTGACCTCAAAACAATTAGACAGTTATATATCCCTTGTTGATTATTCTACTGGGCGGCCTGGACCCCCCTGGCCGCCTTGGCGCCACCCAGAGTTTTTTGGAATACTGGTTCCATGGTAGGAGGCTACAAGGTGTCTAACGCCCTTGTCTAGTTTGCTCATGGGATGCAGCTCACCACCTTTTTCTGGTTTTTCAGGTCGAGTAACTACCAATTCTAGGGCCAAAACTCCAAAATTACCCAACAATAATTCATGGGACTTTTTTCTATAGAAATTAGACACAAAATAGGATAACAAAAATTTGGGGTTTGGCCCTTGAACACTCTTTATAGGGTGCTTACTGACCCGTGACTCACAGGGTCATTTTCTGGACTGTGCAGCAGAAAATACAATAGGAGCACCATCTGATAAAATGAACATGACCGAAATATGAGTAATTTTTCTCTGAAACGTTTTACTGAAACTAGACGCAATTGTCTAAACGAATCATATAGCCCCCACTAAATACCATACATTTTCATAGCCCAAAAGGTCCACGCACAGAAGTGCAGACCTTCTGGAAATCGGGTACTCAGGACTGGCACACTCCAAAGATTGACCAATATCTCCCAAACTATAAATAATTTCTCTATTGGACTTTTTCCATGTAAAGTAGACTCAAACCAAAAAAGAATACCATGATCAAAGACCCATGTTCACCTAGAATTCAAATTAAATTGAGTGATTTTGGACATTCTTAAAACTTGTTGTGTTTAATATATTAAGGCAAGTCTAAGGATACAACTTTTAAAAGTGTCATTCATATTAACACAAACACTTGAATTACAATAATCTTGGACCAAATGAAGAAAAAATAGTATTCACGATCTGGAAAAAAAAAGAAAAATACTTACTTTATTTTTTCTTTTCAGATCCTGATTCTAAGACTAGCAATTCTTAGTCTCCTTCTACGTCCCATATTCTGCCTTTATTTTATATTTTATGCAGTCCTATCCTTCCTTGTAGCCAAGTAAGGAAGAAGCCCTTGTGCTTAATGCAACATCAAATGCATCCAATATTTCTCACATAAAGAGAATTATGTACGCTCACAAACAACTTTTATGGTACCTCACAGGCTGAAAGTGGTTTTAAAAAATGTAAAGAAGAAACAGAATTTCAAATAAAAGTAAGAACTACCAATGTGACCAGCCAATCGAACCAACTCAAACAGTCCAATACATAAATTATTTTTCTTTTTATTAGTCCCTACACCTCTAATTCCTGCACCTTTGGCCCTAAGATAGACCAGGCCACATTTAGGACTGGTCATCGATTCATTTGGTTGGACTGTCCAGTCCAGCCTCGCCCATATACACACCTCATCCAGTGTCCGTAAGACAGGACAACTTTCTCAGAAGCTGAACAAGTCCTCCAGAGCAAATTGTGCCAGCAGATTATATCAGATGTTCAAAAGTTTTGTTTACTTTTGACTCTTAAATTCGAACAGAAACAGAATTTCTGCATTCTGCGGAGGCACATCTTGCAAATGAACCAAGAAACCTATCATGTGGATATTCTGCAACTCCTAGCAAGACGAAAACAAGGAAAATTGGAAGCATGCTGGAAAGAGACTCAAGTACAAATTCCTATACCTCCCAAAGAGCAAGATACACAAGTAAATAGAATCAACATGAAACAGGAAACAGGAAACAGGAAACAGAATACAGAAAACATGCCAGACAAGAATAACGAATGACAAGCAGGTGCCAGTAAACATAATCAAATGTTAACATACATATTGCAAGGTTGAAAGCAAAGCACGCAGGTTGCCTTCTTTTCCAAAAGCCCACCGTTTAATCTCTGCATCCAATGTTTCTCCAATCCTCTGAAAATAAAACCAGCCAAAATAAGCACACATCCCCCCGCCCCCCAAAAAAAAAAAATGACCAATGCAGTTGTGCTTAGCTGCCATAAACAATAAGACTCGAACTTCGACATCTAGATGATATTTCTGCAATAAATTGAAGGGAAAACCTCACTTCAGCCACCATTGTTTTCGCAATCTTCAAAAATACAACCTCATTTTCATGTTCTTCTAAATTACCAACTAGCCCCTTAATCTCCAGTTATTGCCACTTTTTCAAATTATTTACTATTTATTACCCAAAATACCCTTTTCTTGTGGTCAATATATATTAAAAATATTTTGTGTATTAAAAGGCAGCCCTCCTCGGCACCTTGAGGCAGACCAGCTGTACCGCAATGCCCAGGTCAGGCAGGGTGCCTAGGCCAGGGGCCACCAGGTAGGATAGGCATGACATCTAGGACATCAGGCCACCTCAAGGTGCCCAAATAGGTGGGCAAGAAGCCCTCTAGTACCATGGCCAAGGCAGGCACGACCTTGGCATGTCTTCATGATGTTGTCGTTTGTGAATATGTGCACATGCGTACATGAGAGAGAGAGAGAGAGAGAGAGCAAAAGGCATCTCTTAAAGGTATTATAATATTAGTACCTAAAACCTAAAATGGATAAAAGCAATAGAATTTGACTCCAAACACATCATCGAGCATTTGTAGGGCATCTCGTTCCCTCCCTCCATACCTCCCTCTAACTCGCATATGACCATATGTGTTGCCATTAAGGCACATCAATCATAAGGAACCCGCCTTCCACCTTCCTAAAACAATGATAAAATTTTTATTAAACCGAATCTCCACTTCTTCTTCTTTCATCTCCTTCTGCCTTCGTTCCTTATTCCATATCTGCAGATTCCATACCTTCTCATGGTTCTCCATCGCCACTGGCAACATTCTCTCTCTCTCTCATAGTTACTGGGATTGCCAACTTTGGTAGGCGATCCACTCTAGAAACCGGAAAGGGATCTTCTATGGATCTCGTTTTTTAGAATTCTGGATCTCGATCCCTAAAACATAGGGATCAAATTCCTTAGATTCAATAGTGTACGGTCATTGAATTCCAGCTCCTTTAATCAGTTTTTTTTAGCTGATGAATCATATGCAGATAACCAGCTGTATTTGCATGCAAAACCATGAGTGCACATGCTAGAGAACTATACAAAGTGGAAGATATCATTAAGAACCCCTATAAGGAGCTCGTAGTGACCAGGCCTGGGGTTGTTGCTATTCAAATAGGGAAATCAATCCTATCTAATTGGGGAGCTCGATCCCTAGAACACAAGGACCATGTTCCTTAGATTTAATGTCGTACGGACATAGATCCCTATCATAAGGAGTTTCTGGGTAGCCTTGATCCATCAATCCCAGAACCATTCCAGATGCTGTTCACAACAGCTATGCTCTCGCCCATTATCCTTCAATCTGCTAGTCCCTCTTTTATGATCTGATCCCGTAGCTGCCAATGGATTCTCCCTCCCTCCCACTCCCTCCCTCCCTCCCTCCCTCCCTCCCTCCCTCCCAGCCTCCCTCTCCCTCCCTCCCTTCCTCCCTCACTGCCTCTCTCACTCCTTCCTTCAAGATCCCCATCCCTCTCCAG